GACATCGGTGGTTGGGTGCAAATAGTTAGAGTGGAAGTGAGGCCATGGTCCAGGTAAGTACTTGTTGGTTATTTCGTCCCATCCCAGACGGAGGCAGTTCCTCAGTTCAATCCCGAAGCTCTCCGATGTTCACGACCTCAGAGAAAAGGGAGAGAGGAACAGGCCGAGAGAAGACCGAAAAGGGACAGTCAATGTACCTAGCGTTTGATCAAAATCCTACCTTAAGACATTTATTTGAGACAACTAGTGTACAAGGTGTAACAGATATTACGCTAAAGATGTTTTTAATTATGCAGAAGGCATGGCCTGATGGGTAGAATACTTTCATATGCATAGGGATGAAGAGCAGGATTCCGGTAATATATCGATGAGGTGTAAGCTGACGATGTTCGAATTCTACCTGAGACCAGAAGGTGGGTGTGTAGTCACGATTGGTTGTTATCGGAAACCAAAAGACAGCGGCGATGTGGCCGTATTATATATGCTCCACGGGATAAGAATCACCTAAGCCACCATAACCACAGTGTACATAGGTATATGAATACAGGAAGCTGAGCACATTAGAAGCAGGCTAAGATTAACTGGATATCAAAGGAAGGCGATCAAAAGAGCGCGATAATGGACCGGGTTTCAGTGGCCAAAGGTGCCTGTTGAGTTAATCATTCTAGTTATTAATGAATAACTACCGTGTCAAAGGACCGGACAGCTTACCAGCTAAGCTGTGAAAACTATACCAAGAGAATAAAACTTCTACAAAGGACTGACCCCTGGCGAGCTAAGGGGTATTCCCAAAGTTAAATAGAGCCTACAGCGAACAGCTGCTGCAGAGTAGAGATAGTGGCTAAAAGAAAGGATGTATCAGTGGTTGATTCAGCCATATCATTAAGACTTTTGACCACATGTCAAGTACACGCGAGTAAGAAGAACAACGGATAACAGCGCGCTAGTAGAGAGGAATAGCCAGCAATAGAGTTCGGATTAAGGCTTCAGTTACTAGTCGATCCTACCGTGGCACAGAATAGATAAACAGACCAGCTAAGCTGTGACGCAAACAATCAAAGTGAAAGAATATGTAAGAAAGGAGCAACTTCTAGATAGCACCGGATATCCGCAAAGTTAATGGAAGCTGTGACAACTAGCTGCTGCTAAGCAGAGATAGTGGCACTAGAAAAGGATGTATCAGTAGCTGGTGTAGCCATATAATTAAGACATATGACCACTACTGGATACCTGCAGTTGCAGTGAATAAGTCAACAGATGAGCGCCGATTAAGGAGACAGACGTCACAAGAAAATTAAGGTTGGAGGGTCAAGGAATGGCTCCTTGCAGGCTACATGGAGCCAACAATGATTAGCTGCTGTCAAGAAAAAGATTTCGCGGGAGAAAGAAGAACGACGCATAACGCCGCGCAAGGAGAGACATGAGTGGCCAGCAATAGAATTCGGATTAAGGCTTCAGTTACTAGTGGATCCTACGGTGGCACAGAATAGGTCAACAAACAGCTGAGCTGTGACGCAAACAATCCAAGAGAATAAACATTGTAAGAAATGAGCAGCTCCTAGAGAGCTCCGGGTATCAGCAAAGTTGAATTGAGGCTATGGCGACTAGCTGCTATTAAACAGAGATAGTGGCTGGGTGAAGCAATATGATTAAGAAGTTTGACCACTACTGGATACCTACAGTTTCAATGAATAAGTCAACAGACCAGCGCCGATTAAGGAGACAGACGGCAGAGGAAAATGAAAGCTGGAGAGTAAAGGAGTGGCTCCTTGCAGGCTACATGGAGCCAACAACGACTAGCTACTGCCAATAAGAAAATTGCACAGGTAATGTAAGTGCCTAAACATGGCTGCTTGAAAATGCACTTGTCGGTATTGGCGGTGACTTGTTGCTCTTTCAGCCGTTCGAGCAATAGTCGTAGATGCGTATGGTGTTCCTCTTCCGATGAACTGGCCACCCAAACGCATTTGATGTACGGGTAGACGAAGTGGAGTCGACTTACGACGGAAGCAATGAAGCTTTGGAATGTCTGCGCAGTGTTGCACAGACCGAATAGCATTTGTAAAAACTCGAACAATCAAAATGGCATGATCACGGCGGGTTTCTGTATGTCTTCGTCGGCGAACCGGAGCTGATGCTATGCTCAAACCAGGTCGATGTTTGCGAACACACGAGCGCCATGAAGACTAGTAGTGATATCCTGTAGGTGGGGAAGTGGATATCGGGCCTGAACTGTTGCGTTGTTCAGAGCGCGATAGTTTCCACACGGTTGCCAGTCTCCTGGCTTACTCGGCACAATGTGCTTGGGCGAAGACCAATGGGCCCTTGAACCGTCGGACCATTCCAAGTTCCAGCAGTGCTGGAATTCCGCAAGGGCGGGTTCGAGCTCCCCCGGAGTCAGTCTTCTGACTTTTGCGGAGACGAGCGGACCCTTGGTAACTGTGTGATGCAATCTAACTACGACGGCCTTTGACGGAGATCACGTAGGTTGGATGACTTCTGCGCATCGCTCAAGTAACGGGTTGCCAGCGGGTGAGTTGGCCGTAGCGTACATGGGGCTGGGCGATGTTATATCGCTGGAAATTCCAGCGACGGAAATTTTCGTTGTCTGGTCGATGAAGTGTTGTCCTCTAGCGTCGATCAGCAAGTCGAAGTGCTGAAGTAAATCCATCCCGATTATGGGATTTAGGACTTCAGCAACGAAGAATGTCCATCGGCCAGGACATCGCAGATGGAAGTTGAGTGTGTGTGAACGCTGACCGTATGCACAAATGCTGGTGCCGTTGACTGCGCGCAGACTGGACAGGGTCCAGGGACGGAACAAGCTTCCGTTTAACGAGTGTTCTGGTTCATATGCCAGTAAGCTAGAAAGGGCCCCAGCACTGAAACTTGATAGAATATGCTTGATTCATGCACTAGTATACATGGCAGTGAAACGCACAGAGACGTATAGTGACCTAGTCACCTTTTCGGTTACGTCGTTTGGATCAGGAGGAAGGACGCTGAGTTCTACGCTGGTATCCAGGTGACAGAGAACCCTTGTTTGTCGATCGATGAAGCAGAATAGGCTACTGGGTTGACCAGCAAAGTCCGTGGCCCCAACGTGCTGGACAGCCCGTATCGCTGCGCCTTGCGTTTGAAAGAACACCGTAGGTGGCACTACCTGGTTTACGAATCATGACGATGAATCATGAATGATGCATCGTGATGATACTATCAGTAGGAAAATGTACGGCACGGTGATTTTGACAAAGATTTTGAACGAGATAGGCGTTGGCGACTTGTAGATCGTCATCGGCATCTACTCCCAGAAGTTGTGGAGTCGGTAAACCTCTGGGTGAGTGCGGCAACAGGCGCTTTCATTTGGGCGATATCGTCGTTCAGCATAGATTGAACTTGTGAAATGTGGTCATGGGATTCCCAAATTTGGCCTGCGATATCGGCCATCAGTGTCAGTGGTGTGCCGACACTTGCGCAGAGTACACTGCACATTTCACGCGGCAATTTACGCAGCAACATTTCCTTGAGAAATGCGTAGGATACCATGGCGGGTTTGGCTAAACTTTGCAGCTTTCCTAATACTTGTGACGGCTTTAGGTCATCCGACTCCGTCTCGCTCAGAAGTTTGCTAGACGTTACCTAGCTGAAAGACCAGTTCCCCTCTGCTGGCAGCCTTAAGACATCGTCTATGGCGTCGACGCAAATGCAAATTACACTATATATAACCGAAATATTCACAAAATATAAAAAGGTATGGATGTACGACTGTAATAAATGAATCTGAAAGGACAAGTTAGCAAGCGTCTTATCAACTTTTCTTTCGGGATCATCAGATATTGCGGCATCGTTCCGTCGCTTTAAACCTAGGTTCCTCCAGCCTGCAAGAAGTCGGAAAAGACGAATATATGGGCGAAAGAGAGGTTTTTGTCGAAACGTGCAATAACGCTAGTTAAAGACACTACAAAATGGTTCTAGCTAGGGTAAAGGTGCAGTCGCTAGTCGAGACGCAGCGAAGGTTCCTCGAAGCAGAAAGCTAGAAGCGCGCGAAATACCATTCGTCTGGGTGACTCAAACACACGTAGTCATCAATCGAACAGGCATGCTTTCTAAGTTGTCCAGATGCAAAATAATATTGTATTTTAATAATATTTTACATGGACCAACAGGGGAATCTCCAGGTCACTACATGTATTTGTTTTGTCCATTCCATTGGCTCACATGGTGGTCCGTCGTACTTTTGTAACTGAAGCTGTGTTACCGCGCGCGAACCAGTAAAATGATGTCATTTTGTTTGTTACTGCTTACTATTTTTGGTAAGTTTTCTACTTTAATAATGCGGCTATACTGTCTACGTTTGGAACGGAATTTATGCACAAATAACTGTCTGCGCCCGCAAATTTGTATCCGCAAAGTGTTTTGTTATTGTTAACCTAAATGATAACAAATCAAATACACGTAAATGGATATTATCGGTCGCACCTGGTCAGGTATTTAAAGCGTTAAACTTTGGTCATCTTTAAGTGTGTCTTAAGCCGTATGAAATCAGTAATTAATTGGAATGATAATTGAGTTCATTGAGTTCATTGAGTGGTAGAGAGCAGAAGGGAGGTCCCGTGTAAGCTCCTTCGCTTCCAGATCTTCCAAGGATTGCAGGAGAATTGGCTGTGTCATAGCTCAGAATGTAGTATCAGTCCTGCAGGATCCTGGAGTACTCAGTAGGAACTCGCTTCTGATTGCGCATTGACAATCGGGTCCGGCAGTCGGTTCCAGTCATTAATTACTGGAGTAGAGAGAGTAACATCTGAGCGGACTTTGAACCTCCTCGGTTTAAACAGTTTCCAGCTATGACCTCAAGTCGAGCTGCCAAGTCTTAGCTGAAAAACTGCCTTAGCTCGTTTCCCAGTTCTTCTCGTAGGATGCGTCTGGTATAGATGAGGTCTCCGCGACGTCGGCGATAGTCTAAGGGAAAAAGGTTTCATCCTCTGTAATCGGGTGGGGTACGGGAGTTTGCGTAGCCCAAGGACAAGTCTCGAGGCTCGTCGCTGAAATTTTTCTATTTTGTCACTTTCATGTTTAGATAAAGGGGCTATGGCCGGAAGTCCGAATTCAAGAATGGGACAGATATGGGAGGTGAAGAGAAGTATAAATACCTGCGGCATCATTTTAGAGAATGATCTGCTTATGACGCCCCACATATCCGGTATGCAACTGACTTAGGACAAACACAAATCATTGTGCATACTCTTAAAAATTTTGTTTACTAAAATATACTTAAATTGCAAACAACCAACGGCTGCTATTTAACATTTATTTTTACCCTTGTTGATCCATCGATACGTAACTGCTATATATATATGTATATATATAGTGTTAACGTAAGTAAATTTAAGACTCCGGAGTGCCGTAACCAAATCTACGATGTATACAAACCGCAGTGTGTGGCTTGGTACTTTCATTTTGATCCATTACTAGTCTTCCGCACTCAAATAGCTGGATATCACGTAGATAACTTAATCGGCTAAACTTCGTCAATGGAGTACTCGTCAGCACCTATCAAATTTCAGCCAAGGAATTGTAAAGGTTAGGACAATTCATGTTTCCAGAATGGCGTAAGCTTCAGTTAAAGAACGCCCTGCTGTTTGCACGGGCAAGCAACCAAGGGCTTCCGATACTTCGACGTCCAATTGCATTTCTTGCTTCTGCAAAGAAAACGCACGCTAAAGAAGTAGTCTTGTACTTTCATCTTTTTTGAGTGCTCAGCAACAAGCAGCAATAATTTAAGAATATTTCTAGAGAAAGGCGTAACCAACCGTTGTCTAAACCACTATTGAAGGCGTCTAACATTGTACAGTCAAACAACGAAGTGGGAAGCCTGTTCCAAATGCCAACCACGCGGTTCGCATAGTATTTCCCCTGATATCTAGCCGGGAACTCCGAACTTTGAGATTAAGATGATGACATCTCAGGTGTTCTGATGTAACTGGCTCAAACAGGTCAGTAGGCTTGACGCCACTGAGACCCTTCATTGTCCGAAAAAGCCCTATCAGATCTGCTCTCATTCTACGTCGATCCATAAAAAACAATCCCAAGCTCTTTAGAAGTTCAACATACGGCTTTTTGCGCTGGTCTACAATCCTTCTAGTCGCCAGCTTCTGTAACTTCTCTATTCAAATAACATACTTCCGACGATACGGCGCCTACGCTTGGACATGGTATTCTAAGTAGGGTCGTCCCACCGCTTTATATAATGGAAGGAATACATCCTGATGGGGAAGAGTTGCGGTTGCGCCTTGTTAGCAGCATGCTACTGTTGTGCCGAGGGTTTAAAGCTAATCGTGATAATAAAATTTAGGTCCCGTAACTCAAAAAACGTCTGCAAAGTCAGGAATCCAGTAGAAGTCTGCACCTTAATACCGTCGTTGCTGGAAGTCCACAGCTGGCGTCTACTAGCGTCAAGGAGCAAATCGTATACAACGAGTCACTCTGCCACAATGTAGAGATTCTTGGACATTGTATCTCATACTATCCCTGCTAAGCAGTTTCAGCGCATCAGCAACGATGCAACAAGGGTCCTCAGGAAGAGGTGCCAAGTCATTTGCGGACATGAGCAATAACTGGTTCCTAAAACACGACCGGTGGCCGATTGGCCTATGCGCCTGGTTTGAACACATAAGGTTACCGACACGAATCCGCGTAGGGGTGGGCGTCTTTGCGGTATACGCAGCGCATGCGCGTCTGGTAGTGGTTGCGTGGCAGCGAAGCGCCGTTACGGAGTACAACTGACGAGTTGTTTATTTATTTATCACCGAATCTAGTCTAGAAAAAATGCTGATATCCAAGACAACAGTTGGGGATAAATCATAAGCCAGTCCAGCTTCATTAGTAGGAAACGGTAGTTTACCGAATCAAAGGCTTTGCCAAAGTCAAGATAGCAAACCTTCACTAAAATCCTGTTATTAAGGCTACGTGTTACACAAAATCAACATTGATATTACATGACATTTTATTGACAGAGCCGGGATTTTCTGCTTATATCAAGTTGTGTGCAGATAAGTACTCGGCAGTTCGACTGCAGATAAGCTTCTCCAAACATCTGAGCAACACGATTGTGGGGTTGACAGGTCTATAGTTGACGGGTACAGATTTGGAGCCACTTATGTATCGCCACTACTGATGCTTCTTTCCAGCCTTGTGGTAATTTGCCTTCTCAAAGTGACATGTTGAAGCGCTCCAAGGTCGGACGTTGGAATATGTCAGCGAGTTGTTTGACAATCATAGGACGCCCATTGTCTTGTCCGGCCGACTAGTCGGGGTCTAAGATAGCGATTACACTAAATACCTTTGAGACAGTTAGCAGAGTGGTCAAGGTTGTACCTTCAGTTTGAGGAGGTGGTTGGGAAACAGCTGGACGCTTTTTATCAACAAGCTGCACTTTCTGGAAGACTCACAGCAGCACCTATTTCTTATCTGCGTCTTCTGTAGCAAGATTTCGACCTTCGATGGGCAGAGTTGTAACTCCATCCCTTAAAGATTTTTGATTGAAGGTATCTGTGATACAATTTAGAATTTGTGTTCGCGTTCCAAGCTGACAAAAGCTCAACGCAGTACTTCCCTTTACTTTGCAATTTGACTGCCATATTCCTGTGTCTTTTGTAAAGCATCCAATATTTAAAACCTCCAGTTGCCTGTACCGGCTTCCAAGAATCGTTCCGTCGCTTAATCGCGTGATCTATTCCTCGGCGTTACCATTGCGGCTTGGCACCATTTCTTCTAGAAATATAAACTTCGATGAAGTTGCTAATCATGCACTTACCTGGTTTCTTCGTAAGATCACGATTACAAACATTTTGTATTTAACCTATGAGACTATTTATCGTCGTCGCTCTAAGTCAATGATCTTATATCCTGCCTGCAACGTCTTCAGCGTTGCCTTGGTTTAGCTGACGACCTTTGAACTCGGCTCCTGAGATCTGTTTTGCTGTCACAGACATGGCTGCTTCCGGGATGCTAGTTCAACGTAGGCTAGCTTTTCTGTCCAAGTTAGGTGACGAGATTTTCGGTAGCACTCAACCCAGTCAGTAAAACTTGTGTGTTATTAAGCGAAGCATGCAGCTTTCTATTGGATCCAAACTAGGATACCGAGTTTGGAGCTAAAACGCATTTATTTCCTTAAACAAATTGGCTTCGATCCGGCGCAGAAATTTATGAATTCACCATTAAGTACTCTGTTTAGTATACAATTAGGAAAGAGAATCCTGGACAGACCAGCAGGCAAGCTTTTGACTGAGATATTACTGCACGTGACATGATTTGGTCATACCGTAAATAACGAGAGCAATAATACTTTCATGGTTGGCCAACTATGGATTCAACTTTCAAATATGGAGAAGTGACAAGTCGTTTTATTACTTAATTAATCTCAAAGTACTTAAGAAGTAAAATTAGTTTTTATGAAAAGGTGGACAATTCGAATAGTCTGTGCTCCAACATCGCACGTTGCGTTCGTAGCTGCAGTGACTCCTTGAAAGTCGCTGGAGCGCTAGATGTGATGGGATGAAGACGCCCTACTTCTACATGCTTATTCAGCGGTTTTTCGAATCTGTTACAAAGCCGCGTTCAAAGTCTCGTGGCTAAACTTATCCTAAGCCTTAGTGATAAGTACCACGTGATCAATTTTATTTTTCTGGTTAATATTCACACATCAAAGTATCCATATAAATAAAAAAATATAAGTATATAAAATTGACAAACTTTTTCACAGCTTTATGCTACTTTTTCCATGTCCGATATCGTTTTGAATTTTATTGACATAAGTCCGGGAGATGAAAATGTCACAATCCAACCAACGCTAACGCCCGTAACCCCTCATTACAAACCCTGGTGACATAGTGGTTACTTCGATTTTATTGCGTAGGAATAAAATTTGGAAAAAGAACAGTTGTTAATGTATCCCCTCCTCATACCACCGATAGCTATGATTTCTAGGATCTAGCTGATTTGGAGATCCATAGACTGACGTAACTAGACAGATGTAGTGTTTTCATCGTAGATCAACAAGGACTTTAACGGCAGAGCTAAAAAAAGAGATAAGGTGTCATTTCATCTTATGCCTGAACAGTCCAGTCGTGCACCCACGGAATAATAGTGCTACTATCTCAGCATTGTAAGCCCGGTCGTTTAAACATTGGCTAGGATAACGTCCGTAACAGAAACGACAGAGATGAATGAGACACAACTGAGCTTTAGTAGTGAGTAAAGCATCCTTATTTGTTAAACCTTAAGTGCCGAGGTACTTTTCAGGTCAACATAACTTTCAATAACTTCTAAGTATAACCATAAAAAATGGGAGCCTCTCCTGTTTGGTTTCCCATAAGGACCCTACACTGCCAAGGGGCGAACTTCACTCTGAACTGAGTAACAGCAGCATTAGCAGCATATTATGAGCGGCAAGAGAGGGAGTATAACTTCACCGACGCCTTCTGTCTACTCCAAGTTAGGAAGTCTGTCCTCTTAAAGCAGTTTGAAGCCAAGGTGCTTGCGGTCAACCACAATAATCTCCCGATTACATTCCATCAAAAGATTCACTAACCAGAGTGTTTTTCTGGCAACATTCTCTCACAAGCTTGTTGATGTTGAAGGAATCCGAAAAGCCCACAATTGTCACGCAAACTAACTGGATTTAAGGGTCGGCTTGGGCATTTACTTCACAATATACAGCTTCGGACAGCCTATCAGTTAACAGCACCAAACGTCCTTCCTAGGTTCAAGAAGAAGCAAGCGTTTTACGACCGAAGATTCAGTGTATCTCAAGTGCTCGACTGAGGGAGAAGATGCGAACTTTACTAATTTTATAGGAGCGGGACGAAACATGCTCCTGTACTACATAAAGTTTCTGTGCTTAGTTGGACCTAACTTAGAGCAGGAAAATGAGTACTTCTAACGCCAAGCAGGCAGCCTTCCACTGTCGTTGGACTACTGACGGTGCAGATTTGAAAAATGCATTAGTCTTAAATGGCAACAGCTTTTGTTCCCCTGACTGAGTAAACTTTTATTTCTACTTAATCGACACTTTGTAACACGAACAGAATCACAGATAATGAGAAGTGTCTTATCATGGGCAAAACATAGGGGTTTTACAAGTCCAGTAACATGCTTCATGTGAAAGCTCAAAGTGGCAAAGGATAAGTGAATCCCCGTTTT